ACCTGTGCTTCCTGCTGCGTGGTTGCCGTGGCGGGTCGGTTCCCTGCGGATTCTGAAACATGTCCATGAAGATGGGTTCAAACTTGCGGAAAATAACCGTGGAGACCTCAAAGTTGCGTTCCAGGCGCTCCATTCGGAGCCTGAAGTCCTGCGAGAGCTTGGACATGTCGGCCCACTTCCTCATCTTGGAGAAGAACTGGATCAGACTGAGGAAGGGACAGAACAAGCAGAAGTGTACATGTTCAAACACAAAACAATGGAGGATAGGCTCCCATTAAAACTATAACTGGAAATTTTGCAACACACTTTTTAAAGGATTTCAGTTTGTAAACATTCATCGTTTATGGTCAAATTTTTCTACAGATAATACAAAAAACTATTTCACTTTCTGTAAAGAAGACACTGAATCTGAGTCTTTTCTTCACCATCAGTCATTTAAAATCAGGTAAGTTACCACCTCATAATTTATTCGGCACACTGATGTTTTCACCGCTTTATCAGTTGCTACATTTTTCTTATACTGCACATTCAGGTCGCGCAGAGCTGACAGAGATTCACCTGAGTTTCGAGGAGCGAAGAATCCTGGTCAGCGAGACACAGTTTCCCTCCATCAGCCCTTTGCCCACTGTGGGAGTGGACCCCTTCCTGCAGGCTGCATACAGCGAACATGCCAGCCAGTGTACAACATCTCCCTGCAGAGGAACAGCAACACAACATTTACACATCTGTCTTTGATACATAACAGAAACAGAAAGCTTTGTGATCAAACAGCTGCGTGATGCACAATCATGTTCATCTTTTTAGTCAAGAAACATCAAACTGATCAGAAAACATTTTGCTGTTACAGCTTCGTAAATATAAAGTAGGAATCAACATCATACTTATAAGAGTGTGTCTGTGTTTTTAAAAAATAATCCTTTCCTGCTTTTATCCATGTTTTAATTTTTGGATTCTACTTAAGTTTTAATAATAATAATAATAATAATAATAATAATAATAAATTTTATTTAAAAGCACCTTTCAAAACACTCAAGGACACTTTACAGAACAAATAAGACAAGCATAAAAACAGGAAATGAACACAATAATGAAACAAAGTTTAAGAGCATGGAGTAGTTACACAGAGAAGGCTATCTTTGCATGACTCACGGTTTCAAATAATTCCCATTTATTGTTTTTTATTTCCATTTTCAATAAACAACATTGCCATGAATTTTATGCATTTAAGTGAATAAAAAAAGATCTAAAATTTCTTCAGTGGTGCATCCCTATACCACAAGCACTCTTTAAATTACTGCACAGCTTTACCCACCCACACTAGTATACAAGAACAGGCTTGACATAATCAAGTCAAGCGTCTTTATGTTTATAAAAAAAAAATTCATGACCAAGGTCAGTGGTAACAATACGTTTCCCCCTTTTTGTTATTCAGTCCAAACCCTGATATGACCAAAGACTGTGGTTCTGGACAGTAGTTACATTCAATAAATAAAATATTATGATTACTCTAGTGTCTACTTTATCAGAAACTCACGCCATCACAGCAACCCAAACAATAAACAACATATGACAACAACAGCTCAACAAAATAAATGCCAAATAAATCTATATACGCTGGCTTTAGTCTCTCATCCATTTTTAGTTTATTTTATTGTATATATTTAGCTTGATCCAGCTGATACCTGCTGTAGCACTAAAGCTTCCCTTGGACATTAAGTATTTTTGTATTACAGAGGCTGAAACCAGTTGACTCTGACACAGGAATAAATCAGCACGATCATTTTACTGGCAATATGATTAGTTCATAAACAGTGGCGATCAACTAACCGGTGCAACTCCAGCGTGGAAAGTAAAAACAGAGCCCTTTAACTGCTGTGTTCGTGTCCGGGTCTAGCATTCACTACACATGAAAATGTATCTACAGTAATGAGCTTAGCAGGAGTCTGACTCATTAAACAGCTACTGACTATTTAGAGGACATTATTCACCTCCAGAGTATATGTATTCCATATGGCAGTAAAGTTGTCCATGGCTTCTGTGGCCGTCTGTTCGTCCATGTTCAGCTCCTGACACAACGTCTCCAAACTCCTCCGCACCGAGCTCTCCTCCATCCTGCTCGACTCCGAATCCGAAGACTCTTCGCCCCGCATCCGCACCAGCGACAGGTATAATTTCAACCTGAGTTCAAATCTAAAAACCAAAACACAGCGCCCCTCTTTCCCACTGCCAAATAACACAGCCCACCAACTTGTTCAGGACACAACAACTTCCGTTATCAGTCCCCCACAATGCAGCGCGTTGGCGCGAAAACTTCACGGCCCGGACCAATCAGAGGCGAGGGGAGCGTCGGTCCTGAGCTGTTCGCCCAACCCCCTGCCACAAGCTGAAAGCTCGTGCTCAGCAGACGCTCTGGCTCTTTGCTTTCAGCTGTTACCAGGCAACCACTTTTGAAGCGCGCAACCGAAAACATGTTCAATTAATTTATTTTAAATTTTGATTATTGGTAGTGATGTGATGGCCTCGTGAAGCGTTTCAGCACATTCCCCAAACTGTATCGATACTGAGTCGACACAGTGTTGCTGTTTTGCTCCATACTGTCACCTGCTGGACCTTAAGTATCATTGCAGGCAACTTGCTTGAGACTCACAACAGACACTGATTCAATGACCTAGTCATACTTGTATACACTGTAAGATATTGTACTTTCCATGGAATCATTTTATATTTTTTACATATTTACAACATCTTTAAAATATATTGTGAATGACATTAAGTGAAAATTAAAATGAAGGTATTGTGAATGTAACATTACCCATTTAAATGTATTTGACTCAGAGTTTATTATAAATTTCTATTCAGAAAAAATAAGTTTATCCAATGTTTTTGCATTCAGTCCATTGCGTTTTTGACACATAAACTCAGCTTTGGAAAACACACGCTCGCAGGGCACAGATGGAGCTGGGGTACACAAAAACTGTAAACCCAGGTGGAAAAGGTTCGGATAAGATGTCTTCCTATTCCCCCAGTACGTTAAAGGATCCTCTGATCTTGGAATGTTTCTCTCCAACACTCTCCACAATACTAAGGGATTGTCTTTTATAAAAAAGGGCTGCCTGGTCAAAAACAGTCTTCCTAGATGCTTGATTTCAAAATAATAAAACATATATTAATGAAAAAAAATTATGATAATGCTGCTCAATGTCTATATAGGCCTACCTGTGTTCATTCTCTGTGTGTTTGTCTCCTCATTTTCATGTTTGGCTCTGTAATGCCTAAACGTTGAGGAGATGCTTTTGTTTGCGTAAGAAAGCTCCGCAGAACAGATGCGAAATGTAATCTGCATAAAATGAAATAAATACTTTACACTGCGGGTCACATTGCTGTTTTTTTTCTGATAGATTACATTGAAACAAAGACAGATAAACAGTTACCTTATTTGCAGTTAAAAGATCGAAATGATCCCACACAGCAGAAACTTTTCTTTTTCTTTTGGGCTCCATTTTTTATGGAGAGATATGTATTATCTGTTTCTTTGCGAGAGTAATTTTGTTTGTTTTTTTGGTGGCGACTCATTCCGTTGACAGATGCAGATGTGGTACCTTTTAAACACAGTTTAGAGCAGGGGTGGGCAATTCCAGGCCCCGAGGGCCGGTGTCCTGCAGGTTTTAGATCTCACCTTGGGTCAACAAGGAATCGCATGAATCACATGATTAGTTCGTTACCAGGCCTCTGGAGAACTTCAGGACATGTTGAGGAGCTAATTTAGCCATTTAAATCAGCTGTGTTGGTTCAAGGACACATCTAAAACCTGCATGGACACCAGCCCTCGGGGCCTGGAATTGCCCACACCTGGTTTAGAGCGTTGGCAATGAGCGATACAGCGGCTGTATCGATCACGTGACTTTTCCTTAAAGCGACACACGCACCGATACAGGTTTCGCTCTGTGAGCTTGATACATGCGCCGGTGCGTCAGTGTTGCTGGACCCATCACTAATTATTGGTATTTTATTGAACACGAGCAAAGCTATTAAATACGGAATAGAAAATAGAAAACGTTTTTGCGTTCCACGCCCCCGGAAGTTTAATGTAGAGGACTGAAAGGATCCTCAATTTAAAAGAAAGATTGTAAAACAGTCAAAAACGTAGCCCTTGTAATAACCGGAAAGTTTGACTTATGGGTGGCTTTTTTGTGATTCTAACTATGCATTTTTAATGTGTTGGATAACATTTATATTAAATTGAATGTACATAGTAATAAAATAGTGACGTCTACAGGCGTGTTTAAAACACGTATTGTGGCAGAACTTCCTTCTATAACTTTGAATCAAACTTTTAACTACTAGAAGTAGCGACCCTAAACTGGATGAAGCTTGATGGATGGATTGAAAGGTATGTAGTTGTTTGTTTTACTTTGCCATGGGACAAACCTCTAACCTCAGCAGGGGCTCTGGTATTTTCAGATACTGTATATTGTTAACTCTGGGTATATTCATTTTAACTGCTAGTGCATGCTCATGCTGTAATATTGTTTGGTCTTTTGTAACAGTGATGCTTGATCACATTGAAAAAGGGGAAGATGGGGCTGACTGTGTAAAAATAGCACATTTTTGTGGGTCTTCTGAAATGCTGAGTCTGTGTGTAGCAACGCGACAGAGACATCAATATAAATAAATCAAATGTGATGCATGATTAGCATGGTGTTTGTTATACTTTGAAAATTTATTTTTTTGCTTTTACAGAAGTTTCAGAAACAGGAAAGAATAAAAACTCTACAACATTTTTGTTTATGATCACTTTATTTTTAAAAGCAACAAAAAAGTAACTTAGCCCCCTCAAACTAAACTACTTCTGTAGATAAAGAAAGTTAATGTTCTTTATAGTAGCATAAAAAAAAAAAAATCTTGTTATAACCAGCTATCCTAAACTCTAAACTCCAATAGTCGTCCAATATAGTGACCTTATAATCTGAGTAGATATTAGACAGTAAATAACACAGCTCTCTACCACAGTGGTTATCAAAACCCCATATGATTAAAGCTGGACTACTCAGCACACTAAACTAAACATATTAAAATCCTTAACAGTATTAGAAACTAACAACAAACCCCAGGACTACTCCCACTCGGTTTTGTCATTTACATCATTTGTGTTTCCATTATTCTAAGTAAAGTAATGAAATGTCCCGTGGAGCCCCTCACACATTTAGAGACAGCTTTTAGAAATCACAGCGGACCAGTGAGTGTGCTCTCAGTGGATGCTGTATCTGCTGTTATCTCTGGTCTCAATTGTCTTTATCAGCAGCTTCGGGGCAGGAGAGCTGGAGGCACTTTGGTAGCCATTAGTGCTTTTAGTACTTGAAGAGAAACCTGAAGAAAAATACAGGAAGATGTGTAAGACAGAATTTCATAAAATGCAAATTCTCTGTCTTTATTAATGTAACCTCTCAGTCCAGAGCATCAAGGGCTTAGTCATATAAAAACATTCATATTCATACACTAAACTGCCTTCGAGTTTGATACTTACTGTAGTTGGAGATGGGCTGGATGTTGAGGATAGACTGTTGTCCAAGTCTGCAGAGGCAAAAAAGAAACAAAGAAAAGAAAAAGAGGGTATTTATATTTCACTTTTGTGGACTCTTTAACTCTTCTGTTCCATCCTGAGCCGTAACCATGTGGTGTCACATTCCCACCTGTAGAGGGCACTCTACCCTAACATTAACCTAAATTCTGTTTCATTTCAGCCTGGTGTAGTTCTCACTGATGTCTCTATTATCGCTCTGTGGGGTATGATAGCCCTGTTGACCTTGAATTAGATACGCAGAAGAAAATGGGTGGATGAATAAATCATGATAAATCTCCAGCTTCATCTGGGAAACAAAGAGCTGAAAAATTGCTTATCAGCAAAAAGTATAAAAGTCATGAGCACCACAAAGGTTTATCTGGCATTAGCAGAAAGAGCTGAACCTTACAGCATTCACACAATAAAGACAAACAGGAACTAGTTGTTAGCAATACAAAAAACCTTTCCATTGGAATCAGATCCTTGTCTGTTTCCACTGTTTCTAATTATTAATTTAAGATTTAAACTACATTATTATTATTGTGGCACACCGACAAATTAAAAAATGTTATTTATTGCAACATTTTCTTTGTATTCAGAGGTTTTCTGAGGGGAAATTTGCGTGCAGGAATAAAAATATAAATAGTATATAAAAAATCCAAAAAGAATTTAGCTCCACTGCTTCATCCACTCATCTACAGCAACGTCACATTTTTGTGAAGCTGTTTAATTTACAAAATTATCATATGAATATTTTTATCCATAATATCAATTTTTAATTTAATCACTCTTAGTCTCAGTGCCGGTATGTCACTGCCAATCTCATTCCAGTAAATCAAGCATTGAACTAAAATGACCCTAATGATGGTCATGATGGTGAAAGTCAGGCTCAAGGATACACACATCCATGCATACTCCATCCATGAGTATACATAAATAAAGAAATGGTTTATGAAGTAGTTTACATTTAGTCAGAGTCAGCAAACATAAGATTATGCAAGTAACATTGTACATAAGCCCCTCGCAATTTATTCTTATTGGATTGGAAGGATGTGTATTCTGGTGAACTCTCTGCAGTGTCTGAATTGAATAACCATAACCACCTGTCCTCCTCTCCTTCCAGCAGCTTCCTGTAGGTGGCGATCTCAATGTCCAGAGCCAGTTTCAAGTTCATCAGGTCCTGCAGGTGAAGACAGAATCAGTTTCACTTCACATAATTTCATTTCACTTATGTTCTATGATTTCTTGTCTATCCTGTTTCTACTTATAGTTTATATTTTCCATCCATGTCTTCTCCCGACTCACCTGATACTCCCGGAGCTGTCGAGCCATATCCTGTTTGGATCTCTGCAGAGCTTCCTCCAGGTCTCTGATCCGAGCTTTGGCTTCTTTCACAGCAAGCTCTCCACGCTCCTCCGCCTCAGCCAGCTGGTTCTCCAGATTGGCACGCTGAAGTGAGGAAGGGAACAAGAGATCATCCACGAGGGACCTGAAGTGCATTTTTCTGAGTTTAATGTTGCTTCTTGTACCTGTGCTTTGACCGCTTCTATCTCGCTCTGCAGGCGGCTGATCAGTCGGTTGAGCTCGGCGATCTCTCCCTTCACGATGCGAAGCTCGTCCCCAAACTGGCTGGCCTGGACTGACATTTGGTCAAACTGCAAATAGAATAGCTGTGAATGGTACGATGACCGCAAAAGAAAATTATTTATATTTTATATTTCATGTAAAGGAGGGAATCGTGGACGTGCAGTGT